GGTCCAAATGGGTACAACCATACAAGAGCTTAAGCACGAAAGAGAGAAACACGAGATTCATATTCCTTTGATCCACTTGCCATAGCAACGACGAGAATCGAATGAATGAAATCAAAAGGGCAATAAACACCAATCTAGCAAAAGGCTCAATCCACATCTTTACTGGATCGATGGGGATTGAGAACCAAAGAGAGAGAAGAATGGAATCTGTACTCTTTCGACCATCTTGTCATGGAACGGACGAAGGTTGGAGAGAAGGGGTATAGTCCCACGACCCAAACCAACTCATAGGGCATCACGACCGTGCAACTAAATGGCACAATGCTATTCCCTCGGTTCACAGCAGTGCGGTTGTCACCGCTTAGGCCCAAAGGAATGCTATGGTCAAGGTGGTGCAATCATATAAGGTGGCTAGGATAAACACAGGCAAAAAGAGGTAGAGCCCGATGGTCATGGCGAGAGGACTCGCGGCCATGAGCTTATCCTACACGAGTTGACATCCGTCTTCTACAATCATCATATCCCGACTCGTCCACTAAGTTAGGCCACAAAGGGCTCATTGTGTGCGGGTGATATCCGCACCAATGTTCAGTCCACAATGGCCAGGTCCTAGGGCCGAATCGGATTACTAATATTTGTAGTACGTCGGAGACAACTAAAAGCGAGGGAACAAGTTATGCTCGCCATTACGGCCACGGTGGGGCGAACCCACTACCGAAATGGTCGAACGAGGTACGATCCCTCGACCGGCTTGAAGGCACGGTCCTTAGGCAAACAAGCACAACATAAGAACAAGAATCCCGACAACCCAACATAAGAGCTAAGACACGACCACACGAATGGAGTAGCACATATCCATAGCGAGAAAGGTAGATAGATAGACCTGCATAAGGGCACGGTGTAGGCATTTATAGATAGGTAAAGATCGTGTAGAATAAGTGTATGAACGAGTGTAAGAATGAGCAAGGGAGGGCTTTTGTCGGCGTCGGGAATGGCATTTGACTAGGATTCAGCCTTGCGACGAATATGAGGATGGCCAGAGGCTGTTGTAACTTGTCCCAAAGGGCTGCGGCTTCTTGTGGCCAGCTGCTGTAGGACACAGCTAGGGTTGGCGACGAGGGTATTCGGCCAAGGCGTCGGGGCCATTTGCAAGTCTAAAAGAGAGGCAGATCTCGGTCTCGAGTTTTGCGGCACGAACAGCAAGTGGGGACAAGTCCACCGCGTAGAGCTTGGTTTTAGAAAAAATGTGGGAACTGGTTTCACATTTTTCTGAGGTCGTATGAATTTGTTATGACTTTCCGAAGATTAAATCCATTTCTGAAAATAATTAAGGCTGATTTATTCAGGGCTGACATGTGTCACACTGTGATTGGTTCACGTGGCATGAAGGGACTTGGAGTGGTGTACCAGCTGGTGAAGTGGTCGGAGAGGTCACCGCGGTGGTCGGAGAGATCGCAGAGGTGGTCGGAGTGGTCGCCGAAGTGGTCGAAGAGCTCGCCGACGTGGTCGGTGAGATCGCCGAAGTGGTCGGCGAGATCACGGAGGTGGTCGCCGAAGTCCCCGATGCTGGAGCGGTCTTTTCTTCGGCATGACGTCAGCATGGCGTCGTCAGAGCTAAACCGCGGCTGATAGGTGGGCCCTCGGCACTGGTCACTGACATGTGGGTCCGGGGTCAAATGGTGACTGACAGGTGAGGCGCGGTTCATGGTGAACCTGCCTGTGTTGGTCCATAGACCGCAGAGCCGGTCTATGAAGGACTTGGTCCACTTACTCCTTCCCAGGGTTTGGTTCACGTGCACCAAGTGCTCGGACGTGTGGCTGGCGAGGGGAAAATCCCAATCCTCTTTCCCCGTCATGCTCCCATCGGTGGTGAGCTCACCGACGAGCCCCTCCTGCGGCGCGGGTGTGCAATTAATGTGGGCAAAAGCTTGGCCATGCCATAGCGGGTGTCCCGGTGAAGTTAACGTGGTGGTCGGATGGCTCCAGTTGGCTGGCCGCGGTGAACGGCGGCGTGGGTTCGTCGGCGTGCCTGGATAGGGCTGCAGTGGCAGCGAGAGCCCAGTTGGAGGAGTGTGTGAGCTTCACGGTGCTTCTACAACCATGGTAGGCGTGTTGAAGGAGCTCCTGGTGCTCCCAGTGGCTCCGGCCACGGTGGTGGGGGCAAAGCGGAGGCGATGGCGCTCCGACAAGATGCGGTGCGGCAACGCAGGGCTCCAGTGGGCTTCATCCTCAGCTAAGGTGAGCGCGGTGTGTCTCTCGTCATGGTGGAGCCAGTCAGGGTGTCAACGTCGCCTTTACCGTGACGTAGAAGACGCGGTGGTCTCGCCATGGTTGTGCTCTGGCCATGGTGAGCGCGTGCGATGCGTATGCATGGCATAAGCAGAGCGCTCGGCGCTGGCGTTCCCGAGCAGAAGGCTCGGCGTCGCCCCCTTTCTTCCCTTTGCTTCGCGTTTCCGTTTGGCTCAACAAGAGGGTCATGGTGGTCCTTCTATGCTACCGGTTGGCTAAGCCAGAGCAAGAGCTCGTGCTCCGACGTGGTCCGTTCATGGCGTCCAAGAGGCTAGGAGTGGTCGTGCCGGTGTTCCCGAGCTGCTAGGGGTCGATGAGGCTAGGCCTTGGGCTGGTGGGCGTGTGGTGCGTGTGTAGCGTGTCCAGGAGCAGGAATGCTCCGCCTCTGCGTTCCCCAGGTGCGGGAACGCGGTGGCGTCCATGGCGAGTATGGTTAGCGTGGTCAGCAGTGAATGATGTGGCTCACCGTAGGGCTCGTGGCGATAGGATGGCGGTGCGGTGGCGAGGCGAGGCCGTGATGAGGCGATGCAGTGCCGTGCCGAGCAGCTACGTCGCTGTAGCCAATCGGGGCGGCACTCCTGGCTCCGGCGAGGTCCGGTTCTGCAGCGGCTTCCTTCTCCTCCTTGCTTCTTCCTCCTCCCTCTCTCTCGGCCTGACGCGGTGTGGTGCTGTGCCACCAGCGGCGGCGGCTATCGGGCTGAGGGTTAGGGTTCATGGCCGTTGGCTTTTATAGCCGAGCTCCAAGGGCTCCAATGGCGGAAGGTGATCGGGCGATGGTGATGCATGCGGCGCATCCGACGGCCCACATGCGGTAGCGTAGGCGCGGCGCAAGAGGGATTAGGGTCATGCGATGTGCGTGACCCAGGCCCGCGTCTGCTCCGTGGTCGGCTCCCGGTCGCGGAAGAGGTTGGCGTGGGGAGGAAGATGATCCTGTTGTTGGGGTGGCCGACGCGTGGGGTCCGGTTTGTCAGCTTGTCCTGATGTGGCGGCGTGCTGTGCGTGACGGCTGACGGGCGGGTCCGGTTTGTCAGCGGCTTGTGCACGTGCGGGCGGTGATGCTGGGCCGACTACGTGGGAGGCCTGCGAGCGCTACTGAGCTTATGGCCATGCTGGGTCTGCCGGTTGACAGTTGGGCCATGCGGCCAGGAGAAGAGGATGGCGCGCGAGCTAGGCCAGCTCGGGGAGGTAGGCAGAGCAGGTTGCTGTGCTCCGTCTGGGCCGAAGGCACGTGCGGGGCCAAGAGGAGGGTTGGGCCGGTCGCGCATCTTGGGTTGGCTGGTCATGTGCTTGGGCCAGATTGGCTTTCCTATTTTCTAAATAAACCAAGGCTCCTATATTGAATACATGTGTCGCCAACTTGTACACCTCCTAGTGGGGTCCTCTAGGGGTTATCTACGGGTTTAGGGTTAAGTCCATGGCAACAACAGTGTCGGGTTATGGTTGTTTAATGAGAAGAATTGGAGAGAGAGGTTCAAGGGAGAGTCGGAATAATCTCGCGAGGAATCCAAGGGAGTTGCTATAGATTGTGCTTCTCCAAAATGAAACCAAGACTCAAACACGAGGCAACAAAAGAGCTCCGGCAAATCTCTACAAGCAATTCTATATGCCTGCATCGTTTCGTTAGCGGGTTTGACTCATGTTGGACCTATCGTTTACATGCTTCACACGATTACAGGAAAAATTTTAAAAAGTTCGTAATTTTTGGTTTCCAGAAAAAAAATCCAGGTTGTTACAGCCGTCCCTACCATACCGTCTCTACAAATCATGCATTTGTAGGGGTAATTCCCAGACCGCCTCTACAAATCGATTTGTAGGGGCGGCTGGTGTTATCAGCCGCCCCTACAAATCGATTTGTAGGGGCGGCTACAGTACCAGCCGCCCCTACAGTGTATTTTTTCATCAAAAAAATTGTGGCCCAAACAAGATTGTTTAGCCAAAAGTTTCTAAACATGTTCTATAGTACAAGAATCACAATAATAACAAACAGACTTATGACAACAAAACATATATCTATATCAAAAAAGACCAAGCAAGCATGGTGCATTGAGCTGTGTAGATGGCAGCAGCTGCTAGCATAGACGGGCAGAACTGGAGCATCTCGTATTCGACAAGACTCAGCTCGATCATGAAGAAAGACAGGAGTTCGAGCTGTCCAGTAGTATAAAGATTTTGTCAGGGTTTATGTACTTGTACAGCAAACCTATAGCTTACATGATTTATTGATCACAAAAACAGGAGTATGTATTAGTATCTTACCTTCTTCTCAGATTGTGCTGCCTTTAGAAACCTTCTCATGAAATAGTATGGAGTCGGCACCGACACTTGGGTCAATTTTGGTGGAAGAGGGATCTGAATCTGGTACTTGTTACGATCAACACCGCAACAAGCATCAGGTGTGAGATCACAAATTTTTCACTAGGTGGGAAAAAGTTTCAACTTATTCAGGAACAATAGCACAACGCATAGAGAAATAACCAAAAGGCCAGTCATGTTTCAGCAATAAAATGAATACACAGGATCATTTTAGATTAACCAACCTTTTCATCTCTTAATATTACATAGGGCAGAGTTTTATACTCTAGCCTCCAATCTATGCAGCTAACAATTATTTCCAATGCAATAGCAGCTAACAATCTATGCAGCTTGCATGATGGCATATCATTTTCTTACAAATAATCACCGGAAAGATGGGCCAGTTTTGTATACATTTTTCACAAGTACATAAATGCATCATAGTGCTGTAGTAGAAATGAATGACTAAGTATGATATGGTAAAGGAAGAAAACACTTTAAGACTTATGATATGCTTAATTTGAAAATACAGGATGGCATACCCGACCCTCATCCCTTCCTCGATATCAGATGGAGAGACCTTATCTCCCAGTCCAACCACAAACTGCAGGATTCAAAACAAGGCATAAGATAAAGGTGTACAGTTCTAGGTGGCATGAGATGGAAATAAAATGGCAAGCATGGCATACCTTTGCAATTTGTTTTACATTTATAACATATTTGGCATCATCCGTATTAGGGCTTATAATCTTTGTACACCTTGCTACCTGCAGGAGGATAAATATTAGTTATTAGTGCGCTGGCACATGTAAAACTGAAACCGAAAAGATTTTGTGCCCAACTATCATGCATGGTAGGTCATAATTCAAATCTGTAAAAACTACTAAGTAACATAATATCAGGTTCAGTTAATATACTTGTAATGGTTGTTCTTCTTGCATCATCTGTTTATCTGAAACCAAATCCCACTGGCTAGGTGGAGCCAGCCCTGTATCAGACTCCTTTATCCCTGCATTTAGTATAAGAGCACATCTCAGGTCAAAAGGAGCTTGCTAACATTAAAACGAGCTGATGAATTGCAGAACAACATAGAACATAATAGAAAACACCAGACATAAGACATAATAGAAAACACTAGACATAAGATGTGGTCTCATAGCCAATTCATCTTACTACACTATTAAGTTAATAACATGTCATTACTACACTATTAAGTTAATAACATGTCAGATATCTAGAGTGCAGGGTAATATATAGCAGCACCCCCATGCCAGAACTATAGAGGCATCCCTAAAGAAACAGTTCCCATCGATTTTTACCCTTTTTCAGTAAACTAGAATGTTTCAAGTGTAACACACTAAATAATGCATCACTGCATCTTAACCAAATGGATAACTATACGTGAGATCGTCAATTAAATGAAACTCCCTATTAGCGGCAAGTAAATAGCCAGTGGAAACAAGTGTTGCCAAGTGAATAACAATTCTCAGTGAGTCAGTGTAATAACTCCACAATCTAAGCCAGAAGATCAATAAAAAGACACAAAGTGATCAAACTTATCCTTAGGACCAACTCAGAAACAAACTGGCCTACATCTCCAATGCCACACCAAAAAAGTCATAATAAAATTATCACTCACCACAAAGGTCATTGATTTTCTTGGCCATTTCCTTGATCTCCTTCTCGACCTTCTTGATGCTGGTCGAGTACGGCCCAAGCCCCTGCAACAGCATCCAGCAAACCAAAATTAGCAAATATCAGCAGTTTATCCCATTAAACCACACACGACAACCTAAATCTGGTAAAAGCACGATGCCGTCACAAAAGACAGAGGAGATCAAAACCCTAAACCAATCTCGAGCTCGGACCACAACGAACACAACTACGAAGCCCCACCCCCAAGACCAAATCACCAAAGAACCCTAGATCCACGAGATCAGAGAGATCCAAACGGGGGTCGAGGGACCCTAGATCCAAATGGAGCAGACGAGATGTCGCATCGGGGGCAACCGAGCCGGCGACCACCGGTAGGCGTCGTGCCCGGGGACGGCAGCCGTTGGGGCCCCCGCAGCCAGGGGCGGCCACCCACCACCCGCTGCACCGACGACTTGGCCGGGGCCGCCGTCGCCGCGCCCCTGCGCCCCTGCGCCCCTGCGGCGCAAAGGGGGAGGGGTGCGAGGGGGGAGAGGCGTGGAGGAAGAGGAGGGCGGCTGCGGCGTCCGCTGGCCCGCTCGCGCCAGCCACCGTCTCCCTGGCCGCTGCTCGCGTCGGGAGGGGGAGAGAGCGTAGAGGAGAGAAAGAGAGGGGAGGGGAAGAGAAGCTCTGAAGGAGAATATATTTTTCGACTGTGCTCTAGAATATATAGTCAGAGTCATTTATAGAGGCGACCGGTGATTGAGCCGTCCCTACAAATAGAAACACCGGGGGCAGCTGGTGAGTGAGCCGCCCCTATAAATCAGACCCTTTTGTAGGGGCGGCTCGTATCACCAGCCGCCCCTGCTGTTCCATTTGTAGGGGCGACTGATCTCTGGGCTCCCGAGCACGCCACTGTAGGGGCGGCTCTATCACCAACCGTCCCTAAAAAAAATTATTCCGTTGCTACAAACCGTTTTTCACGTATATACATCACTTCCTATGTGAATGAAATAGCTGGCACCCACATATGTAAAGCCGTTCCAATCTCCCCGCTCACATGTCACATACAACTACAACGGTAAATAAGGAAGGGCCGAGGTTCTGAATTCTCATCAGCCAGCCGCGTCAAGGTTGTCTTGTCAGTACCTGCTTTCCTTTCATATAGCCGCCAAAGCTAGCGTTTCCTCATTTCCACTCCATTTCCTTTCCATTCACGCGCTCTTGCATTGGCTCTCGCTCACCACACCAAACGCGCCCCTCTTCCCTCTCCAGCCGGAGCCCACAGCTAGCCCCGCAACGGAGATGGCCGGCGGCGAGGCGACCCTGATCCTGGAATCCACCGCCGTCCCGACCACCGCCCGACCATCGCCGCGCTTCCTGCTTCCCCGCGCGAGTGGCAACCGTGTTCTTCCGTCCCTGCCACCCCTGCCTCCTCATGATCTCGTTCTCGACGGCGGGGTCCACGCGAAATTCGAGGGCTGGGCTTACAGCACGGATCTGTGGAGGCAGTGGGTGGCCAAGCTCCGGCCGCTGCACGAGCCGCTGTGGCGCGAGCTCGCGATCCTGGAGGGCATCCTGGCGACCACGTACCGGGTGCGGCGGGAGAGCGAGGGCGCGCTGCTCCAGCTCGTGCCCTTCTGGTCCCCCCCGACCAACACCTTCGTCTTCCCTTGGGGCGAGGCGACGGTCACGCTGGAGGACATCGTCGCGCTCGCGGGCCTGCCCATCCTCGGCTTCCCCGTGCGCGAGCCTCGGTACTCTGACAAACTTGTTGAGATTGAGATGGCGGACGAGCGCGAGCTCGCTGCCGTCCGCGCTGTCCTGCTGATGGATCAGCGCGAGGGCACCGGCGCCGGCTGGGCGGAGCACTTCCTTCGCCAGCACCAGCCAGAGGAGGCAGGCGGCCGCCGTGGCGAGCGGGAGCAGCGCCTGGAACACGCTGCGTTCCTGTCTCCGTGGCTGGCTCGCTTCGTGCTCCCCATAGTTTTAAATAACGGGCTAAGGTGTTTAGCGGTATACCTCTAGATTAACTAATGGCAGAGCTAAATCGGACCATAGCGAGATATAGCGGCTAAATTGTACATGAACACAAATAGCGACAGCTTGCCTTAAAAGGCTATAGCGAACTATAGCGGCAGCTGTAGCGGAAGATTTAAAACATTGGTGCTCCCAGCGCCGTCCGACTCCGGCTCCGAGGACATCGTCCCGGGGGAGGAGGTGCTCCCCATCGCCGTCCGCCTGGCGCACGGCCACAGCGCGGCGCTCGCGCCCGCGGTGCTCGCCAGCATCTACAGCGACCTCTCCGCGCTCCACCGCCACTTCATCCACTCCAAGAGAACGGAGGCGCCGACAGTCTCGGCGCCAATGCACATCCTGCAGCTCTGGGTCTGGGAGCGCTTCCCCGAGCTTCGCCCGGCGACGGTGGCGACGGCAAGCGTCCCGGCGGACGCAACTGACGGTGAGGATGTGATGCTGCTGCCTAGGGCTGCCCGGTGGCACGACGTGCACAGGGCGCTGGACCCGGGGTACGCTCGCGCGGTGTTCACGGCACCCAAGGAGTTCGAGTGGCGGCCCTACGGCAGTAGCTTCTGGGTGCGTCGTCGTGGCCATGGCGGAGCTAGGGCACCGCTATCATCCTTTGCACGGTGTCTGCAGGCTTGCGAGCTCGTGGGCGTGGACTACATCGAGCAGTACAATCCTCACCGCGTCGCGAGGCAGCTCGGGTTCGACCAGGACGTTCCGGGGACGGTGACCCGACTGAACACCAATTTCTGGGAGAGAGCATGGGAGACATACAATACTGGGGCAGAAGATTATGCATTCGCCATTCCGAGTGACGAGCCCGGTGTGACGGATGAGTATGCTCAGTGGTGGAAGCCGTACTCAGTGGCATGTGCTGTTGCCGTTGAGGAGAGGGATGCCTTAGCATCAAATAGAGAGTTAGATTCTCTCATGGAAGAAACCAGCAACAAGGGATCAGGTACCAGAGAATTTTGTTGAAGTCGCAATACTAGCTATATATACATCAAATTAGTTGGAACAATGCAATTTAGGCTTGATATATAACCCTTAAAGTACTCTGTCTCTCTTTGTTTTTCTTTTGCAGGAAACAATGAGGGGTCGTCTAGCAGAAATGATACTAGTGGACCAAAATGGGCAGTTGGGACGATGGAAATGATACAAAGGGCATCCGTTAATCGGCAGGCTGAAATGGCTGGATCGAGGGAACTCGTTGCAAAACTGGTGAAAGAGATTCAGGAGCTAGCTATAGACATATCTGAGCAACCCAAGTAAAGCATCAGTCAATAAGGTATATACTACTAGTAACATTTGTCTTTGCAACGCATTACTGATATCGCCTATGATATCTGTCAAATAATAAAACGGATTAGGATTATTAGCTTTGCTTGGGAAAATCGGTTCCTTTATTACAAAATGTTAGTGTTGGCGTCACAGGACAAATGTTTTGGAGGACCCGGTTGAAGCAGTTCTATTTTATAGTATCCGAAAGAAAATCAAGTTCCAAATTTAATTTTATACCGTTGTTCTAATGCTTCAGTGTGAATTCTCATAGATAATGAAACAAGGAAACTTCCTGATCAGTGGTAAAATAATGATCAGTAGAAAAAGAGCACAACTGTTATTGAATTTGTTTTTTGTTCCTACTCTTGGCTTTTCAGATGCGATTGCATTTAGCTTCTTTCGTTCTGATGATGACTAAAACATTTTTTCCCCAGGACCAGCTGGTGTATAGACATGTATATATAGGTATTAGGAGGACACCAACCTGATGTTATTTGCTTTTAAAAAACTGATGTTATTAGCCAGTAATACATGATACGAACAGTTCTTGATAATTAAAGTGTGCTCCTACCCCTCCCTCTTATGTTGTTGAATTCAATCTATATATTACTTCTCTCTGTAATATATCCTTAGTGAACTTCCATCATTGATCGTGACATTCATTTATTTTTTTGGAGGGGGGGTGGGGGTTGGGGGGATCCTACCTTTTGCTATGCATGAGCTGCATTATATATATTTTTGTTGCAAGTCGTGCAAGAAATTAAAGATCCATTGTGTTGAGTTATATATATGGTTACGACATTGAATGCTGTTATATAACTTTTTATAAAATACAATTACATCTTTTATGCAGGCAATATTTAGGGTGTTAACATTCCTACAAAGGAGATAGGAAGCAGCAAGGATGTAAGCCAAAGCATGCCAAGCGCTGGAAATGGATACCATGTAGTTTTTTTTTCCCAAAGAACAAGTGTCGATTTAACAGTAGGATTATGGTGATGTTTGATATGTTAAACACCATGTGATCTACTTGGTTTGATCCTTTCTCAGCCATGAGCTGATGTAACAGTGAAGTATCTAGGTTTGTGCACAAACGTTGCGAATGAGTACAATTTGAGACATGCAAAGTTGTATTCCATCTGTTCCTGTTTACATTGTGTTTTGTATTTATCCAATACTTTACCTAAGAATTTGATAATTAGTTCTTAAAATTATATCATTTAAAAAATTCATGACACAATTCTGCCAATATCATTTTTATGTGACATATATACGACCACACCAGTTTTGTATATCAGAGATTCAGAGTTTAGTGTGTAAAAGCATTCTTAAATTATATATGTTTGAGAATGGTGTAGTGGGAGTATCTTTGATATGTTATTTTTCATTTGCTCCAATGAAAAAGCATATGCGTGTACTATGCTTAGATAGATGTGATATTTTGTGTGGCGTTATTGTTGCCTGTGTAAATATATATCATATAATGATGGTGCAAAAACAAATTTGAGCATATATTATGCCCTTTTTGTTATGCTAGGTACAGAAATTAATTTATCTATAGTTTCCAAATGGCAAATATATACTCATTGTTTACCTCATTTTTCTGTGAAGTCCTCTGCTGTTGGTGACTTTATTTGACAGTCTATTGGTTCATTTGTGTGCCGAAATGGTGGATACCCTAGATTCCTAGCACACTGTGTGTCAAGCTCCCACAAACCTTTGTTACATGGCTATCTTCTGCACCTTTCGGCCGTACGCGGGATTATTTTCATGTGAACTTGGTAGGATTCCGTTT